TCTGAGGCTGAATGTGGTGGCACAGGCCTTTAATCACAGCACTCAGGAGACAGAGGCAGGCAGATCTCTGAGTTGGCAGCCAGCCTGGTCTACACAGTAAGTTCCAGAACAGCTGGGGCTATACAGTGAGACCCTGTCTCAAAAAATAATAAAAAAAAATAAAAAGAAGAAGAAAGAAAGAAAGAAAGAAAGAAAGAAAGAAAGAAAGAAAGAAAGAGCCTGCCATACATGTGAACCCGAGTTTGCATTTCCAGCACCCACATAAAAGCAAGCCCTGAGGCCTGGTCTGTGTCTAACACCAACACAGGGGACACCAGAATGCAGGTGGGTCCCTGGAATTCTGTATAGCTGAATCTGAAGCCGTGAGCTCCAGTCTTAGTGAAAAACACTACGTCAGCAAGTGAGATGGAAAGTGACTGGGAAAGACACCTGATGTTGACCACTGGCCTACACAGACACACACACCAAGGAAAGGTCCCAGAACCACGCCATAGCTCTTCCCTTCCAGTCCTGTTGGCTAGAGCTGGGCCAGAGGCTCCTCACACTTCAGAGGAGACTAGGAAACTATACTTGGCAAAGAGAACCTGCACTATTGTGGCTGCCCAGGAGCAATCAAGGTTTTGCCCCTGGGTGTGGGATTTCTCCCCCTGGGTTTGCAGGCAGGTTGTAATCAGGTAAGAGAAGTAAAAACAAAAGGACGTGGCTGCTCCTAGGCATGGTAGTGAAGTGTCAGAGACAGGGACTTCTGGGAGAGTCCAGAGTGGACATAACCCTGAGCCATATGATGAGAGGGGGAAGGGAGGGAAACCATGTGCAGCAGCCAAGAGACCTAAAAGAGAGCAGACAAAAAGGGACCAGGTAACCAAAGTGGTTGGTTTTATATGTATAGGGAAGGGTAGGTGGGGGAAGAGCAGCCCAGCTGCTGGGTTGGAGAAGTTTAGGGTAGGGGTTGAGGTAGGGGCTGAGGGATGCTGGGAGAACCTGGCAGCTAGGCACCTCAGCTGTTTGTCCCTGACCAGTATAAACCCTATTACCAATGGTCCAGGGGCACAATACTCACACCCAGGCAAACTGCCTTACATAGAACTCAGAAGCTTGGATGCTGGGCTAGAACTTCTTTGTCACAACCTCTTACATCGTTCTGGTCTCCCCAGCAGTGCCCTGGAGGAGCACGATGTCTCCATTCTCTGTCACAGCTTTTCAAATAGATGGCAGCCTGGGACAGGGCCTTCTTACTACAAAGGGCTTGATAGAATCTCTTCCAGCCTAGGTGTGAGGCCCTCCTAGGGGAGTACAAGACCATCCTGACTTACCCTCCTCAGGTCTCAGCGTCATGCATCCATTTTTTTAAAAAAGGCTTTTCTACATAGGGTTTCTCTGTGTAACAGCTCTGGCTGTGCTGGAATGTGCTTTGTAGACCAGGCTGGCCTCAAACTCAGAGCTCTGCCCGAGTGCTGGGATTAAAATTGTGCGCCACCATGTCCGACTTACATCCATTTTTCTGTTTTTATTTATTTATTTACTTATTTATTGGCAAGATCTTGCTACATAGCCATGGCTATCCTGGAACCCACTATGTAGACCAGGTTGGCTTTCAATTCAAGAAAATTTGCCTAAACTGGGCGGTGGTGGCGCCCGCCTTTAATCTCTGTCTCAAAAAACAAAACAAAACAAAACAAAAACAAAAAAGAAAAAGAAAATTTGCCTGTCTCTGCCCCCTGAGCGCTAGGATTAAAGGCATAATACGCCCAATTCCCAGTTCCTTGTGCCCATTTTTTCATCTACCCATTGCTAGTTCCTCTTCTGAAAGCATAAGCATTTTCACTACTGGAAATGCATCATTATCTTCATTATATAGATGACAAACTAGGCTTTAAAATGTGATTTCCCAAAATCATAAAACCTTGATGGTAATCCTAGGATTCGAACCTGTGCACAGCTGCTCAATTACTACCAAAGCGACCCATCCAGGGTACTATTTTACCCTCTGCACATTCTAGGCTTCTTTACATCTAACGCTAGAAAATGTCAATGGAAAACGCTGTCTGGAGTTTTTTGAGCCTCGGCGGCTCCGGGACTGACGCAGGCGGAAGTAGACGGCCGTTGGCCCGGAAGTGGGTTGTGGAGCGGTTGCTGCTGGAGGGCTGTGTGTGTTGACTTACCCTTTGCCGCCCGGTACTGGAGCTGGGGCGCTACCTTTGCGGGTGTCAGGTGAGTGGGCGGCCAGGGAGGACGTGCTGCCTGCGTTCTGGCCCCACCGGCCGGGTCTCCTGGGTCTGCTGCACGGAGGCAGTGCTTTCTAGCCGGCGACCCGGGCGCCACCCGAGAGCCCTTCAGTGTCTGGGCCACCTTCGCCTCTCCAAACTGCTGTGATGAGGGCAAAAGACTTCTTTTTGAAAGCTGCTTTTGAGTCCTTGTGAAGTGGAGATCGTGACTGTATGTACCTCACAGGGCTGTTAAACCTTCTTCTCGGTCCCACACCACATCCTAGCGTCCAGGCGAAGCCCTTAGAAAGTGACTTAGCCGGTTTTGGGTGGGTCCCGAGAGTAGGTCTTCTCCCCGCCGTCCCCCAGATTTTCGAGACAGGGTTTCTCTGTGTAGCCCCTTCTGTCATGGAACTCACTGTGTAGACCAAGCTGGCCTCGAACTCGGAGATCTGCCTGCCTCTGCCTCCCGAGTGCTGGAATTAAAGGCATGCGCCACCATCGGCCGGCCGAGTCGGTGTTTCTTAACCAGCTTCTCACCAGAAAGCATTTTTAACAGCGTTTGTTTTAGGGCTTGGGACGGGGTGAGGCAGTGGGACATTTAGCTCTGTTTTTTAGCAGCTCCTGGTTGTACAAGCCCAACTCGAGGTAGTAGCGTTTGTCTCCTCTCTCTTTCTTCCAGGAATAGGAAATTGCTGCTCCTTTTCTGTTCAAATCATGACATCTCTTTGCTCTAACTCAAGGAAGGAACTCTGGACAGGACTCTTTCTACTAGATACATTTATGAGTCTTCTCGAGGGCTTCATTGCTCACTCAGTGTAGACATCTGGGCTTTGGTTCAGCCTGTGGAGCGCCTATCTAGGAATTTTAATGTAAAAATAACTGATATTTTTGTGTTCATGTTTTCTGTACTTTGCCCACACTGTGAGTACTCAAAACACTAGCTTTCTAGAACTAGGTTCTTAGGCCTACTGCCCTCAGTTGCCACAGGCTAGCCCTAGGTGATTTAGTCCTGCTTGGTAGACCAAAATAAAATCTCAAGACTACTACTTGCTTCATTCAGCCGAAAAAATGGGCAGAGCTGCTGTGTCTGTGTGTCTGCCACACTTAGTGGTTTATTGTTTTCTGGTCCCCAATGAAGCCTTGGCATTCATCATGTAAATAGGTCAACTTAATGTTTTTTCTTTATTTTTATTTTCTGTGTCTGGGCATTTTGCCTTTGTGCATATCTGTGCACCATGTGTGTGCAGTGCTGGAGGAGGCCAGAAGAGGATGTCAGTTCTCCTGGGATTTGAATTGTAGTTGGTTGTGAGCCAGAGTGTGATCATCTTTTGGACCAGTAAGCTAACTTTTATATAAAAGAATTCAGGCCTGGCGTGGTAGTGCACATCTTTAATTCCAGCACTCAGGAAATGAAGGAAGCACATCTCTGAGTTTAGGGACATACAGGACTATAGGAAGAATGTGCTCTCCCCACCCCTCTAAGAAAAAAACAAAAGCGGAAATCTGAAGTTTCTTATTTTTGAAACTTTAAAAATTGGAAAAACAGGTGAAAAACTAAAACAACAATAAAAACTCAGGTGTTTGGTTGTATATGACTGGAATTGTTGGGAATTTTCTCTCTTGGCTGTGTGGGTCTTTATATTTATTTTTACCTGCTCTTTAGCCATCCTCTAAAGTGGAGGGAAGGACATGGAGGCGTGTGCCTGTAGTCCTGTCACACTGGAGGGCAGGGCCTGCCTCTGCTGGCTGCTGTTAGGGCTCACAATCAGGCTACATGACTGACTGAGGTGCCTACTTAACATATCAAAGTGGACTGGCTGCCAGGTCCTCTCAGCAACTCTCAGTACACAGAGTCATCCTGGCTGCCATACCCTACTCCTACCGTAAGCATAACCTCAACCATCTTGACTACCTGCTCTTTCGCTCTTGGCCTTTTTCCTCTTGGCCACTGCTCTTAGTTCCCACACTCCTGGCCTTTTGACTTCTGCCTCTCCCCGCCCACCCCTCCCACATGTTCAGTCTGTCAGCTGTGTTCACTCTGGACTTCAGGTGCCTCTCCTTATGCTCCCTGTCATGTTTACAATAAACCTCCTCAGCTCATACCTAGGAGCAGTCGTGTCCTCACCGCCCCAACACTCAACTGCATAGTTGAGACCATTCTAGGATACATGAGACCGTCTTTTTGTTGTTTGTTTTAAGACAGGGTTTCTTTGAGACACCTTTTCTTTGGGTAGCTCTGGTGATTCAGGCACTCCCTCCATAGACCAGGCTGGCCTCAAACTCAAGGAGCTCCACCTTCCTCTGCCTCTTGAGTGCTGGGACTAAAGGCGTATGCCACCACCGCCCAACTGAGACCCTGTCTTAAAGAGGGATAGTTTGTGCTAGATTTGGACCCTCTTCCCCCCAGCTTTGATTTTGTTTTGGTTTAGTTCATAAACCCTTCCCTTGACCTCTGCAGTTTGCCTTAACCTTCCTAGACTACTTAACTTCCTAGACTACTGGTAGGTTCTGCTCCCATGTGGGAACAGAAGGGAAGAAACGACCTAGTTAGCATCTCACTGACAGCTCAGGGTCATTACTGTCAGTTTATAAGCCTTTGTGGCTTTAAATTTTGGTAAACTCCCATCAGAAGACTTTAACCCCTAGAAAAAGTTAGGAGCTAAGGCTATAGTAAGCCTAGCATTTATGAAGCCTTGGGTTTGATTACTAACACTGCAAAAAAGAAAAGACAGTATGAGAATAAGTTGGTAATTTGTATATACTAAATGTGTCATATGCTGAATTGACTTACAGTTACCATGGCTGCCCTTTTCTGCCCGGTTCCCTTTTTCTAACTTCTGGACTGTGGTTTAAGATGGCCTTGCTGAGGCATGTATCTGGAAGATAAAAAGGTAAGACTTCTGGCTTCTGTGTTATCACATCGTTCTGGGTGGTTGAGCAGTGCCTTCTAGAGATGCCAACGCCATGAAGCTGTGCTGTGGTCTATTCGCAGCCCTAAGGAGGAGACAGAGAAGAGGGTACATTTAGAAAGTTGAAACTAGGCGGGGAGCTTAGTGCAGTGACGTCAGGTTGGAGCCTTTAATTAAGGAGCCAGGAATTAGTTAATTAATTAATTTTCAGCTTTCTCCTTTGTGCTCTGGGAAGCCTCGAGGAAAGAAGAGTTAACTAACTCCCTCTCCGCCTGTTTTCTCTACCCGGCAGCGCGTCTCCTTTGCAATGCTCTTCTTCCCTGCTCTCTTACTCTGCCTCTTCTCTTCTTCCCTACTTTTTTCTTCTCTTAAAGACAGGGGATCTTGCTGTATAACCCTGGCTAGCTGGGAGCTTGCTGTATAGACCAGGCTGGCCTCAAAACCACAGAGCTTTCCCTGACCCTACCTTCTAAATACTGGGATTAAAGTTGTGCACCACTAGACTTGGCTTTTCGTTGATTTTGGTTTCTCTGTATAACAGCCCTAGCTGTCCTGGATCTCACTCTGTAGACCAGGCTGACCTTGAACTCACACAGATCTGCATGCTTTTGCCTCCCAAGTTCTGGGACTAAAGACCTGTACCACCACATCTAGTTACACCTGGCTTCTGTTTTTGAGACAGGGTCACATGTATCCTAACCTGGCTTTAAACTCAGTATATAGCTAAGGATGATCATGACTCCTGCTTTCACCTCACAAGTGCTAGGATTACAGGTGGGCACCACCACACCTCTAACATATGTATTTTATAAATTTAAGTTTTGTTGAAGTTGTGCTTGTTTGTGATTTAAATAGTTCAGTAGAACTCATAACACTGTCAGTTCTTCCCAGTTTCTTCCCCCATTTTTGTTCCCCCAAATCGTTTTCAACAGTCCGTTCCTTTTGGCATTTATTGGTTTACTTCTTTTTCTTTGAGGTTTGATTTAGTATTAAAAAGCTGCTTTCATATACATTTGTATTGCATTTCTTTCCTTTCTCTCTTTCTTCCTTTCTTCCAGCTTTTATGTGGCACTGGGTAGTGAACTCAGGGCTTTTGTATGGTAGGCAACGAACAACTACTGAGCTACACCCACAGGCCCTTTTTATTGTTTCTGTTTTTAGATTTATTTTATGTGTATGAGTGTTTTGCCTAAATGAGTGTATATGCACTACGTCCTCTCCTGGTACCCACAGAAGTTAGAAGAGGGCATCAGATCTTCTGGAACTGGAGTTATAGGTGGTTGTCAGCCACTTTGAGGGTACTAGCAGTTGAGCCCTGGCCCTCCAAAAAAGCAGCAAGTGCTTTTAACAACGTTGTTGTTTTGAGACTGGACTCACTCACTATGTTGCCCAGGTAGAATTGTGTGTCTCTTCTCAGCATCCTGAGTACCTGAGATTTCAGGTATGAGCCATCATATAGCTAGTGTTGCTGACTCTCCATCTCTCCCTCTGTTTTGATTTTAAACAAAGACTCTTAATTTTATTTTACTTCTATTTATGTATATATGGATGTGAGTAAGTGCCATGTGAATGCATGTGCCTGCAAAGGCCAGCAAGCGCACCCCTCCCTTGGAGTTAACACTCATGGATGTTCCTTAGCTGAACTGACCTCAGATCCTCTGGAAAAGCACAAAGGTTTTGTAATCATGGAGCCGTCTATCCAGACCCCCCTCCTTTTTTTTTTTTTTTTTAAACTGGAAATAAGTACTGGAAAAATGGCTCAGCAGTCAAGAGCACTGACTGTTCTTCCAGAGGACCCAGGTTCAATTCCCAACATTCACATGGCAGCTAACAACTGTCTGTAATTCCAAGATCTGACATCCTTACACAGACATACGTGCAGGCAAAACATCCATGCACATAAAATAAGAATAAATAAATTTAAAAAATTATAAACCAGATCTCAGTGTAGCTTGAGTTTGAGTCTGCTTCAAACTCTTAAGTGCTGGGGTTATATGCAGACTACAGCTGTAATGTATACCTGGCAATAATTTCTGTTAGTGTTATTACTGGCTTATTTTTCTGTCAGTCTGTCCATCCCTAGATTATCCATTAGACGTTCCTTTCCCAGATACTGCCCATCCATCTCTTCCAGCATGAACTGCTTGTGCTTTTTGTCTGGTCACAGTTCTTATCCTGGGATCTTTCCTCTATTTTTACTATGAGTTTTCTCTTTTTTTCTCTCTTGTGTTGAACTCTTAAATATTTTTGTTTATCCATTTGTTAATTTGGAAAGTCTATTTAGTTTAGACTAGCCTTGAACATGTGTCAGTCCTGCCCAGATCTCTCAAGTCCTGCCTGGGGTTATAGGTATGTGTAGGTATGTGCCACCTCACCGAATTTAAAACTAAAACTCACTCTCCCTCCTGAGACAGGGTCTCACTGCATAGCCCTGGCTAGCCTAGAACTTGCTGTGTAGACTAGGCTGGCTTCAAATTCAGACTGATGTGCCTGCCTCTTCCTGCACAGTGTATTAAAAACATGTGTTACCATGCCCCAGCATCTTAAAAGTCTTTTTTTTTTTTTTTAAGACAGGATTTCTCTGTAGCTTTGAAGACTGTCCAGGAACCAGGAACTTGCTGTTTAGATCAGACTGGCCTCGAACTCACAGAGATCTGCCTGCCTGTGCCTCCTGAGTGCTGGGATTAAAAGCATGTACCACCACCCGGCACATCTTCAAACTTAATTCTTCTTTATAAATTTTCCTTTAAATTTATTTTATGTTACATGTATAAATGTTTTGCCTGCATGTATGTATATGTACCATGCACATGTCTGGCGTCCTCAATGTTCAGAAAAAGGTATCAGATCCTCTGGAACTGCACTCACTGGAACTGAGTCACCATTGTGGGTGCTGGGAAATGAACTAGGGTCCTCTGCAAGAGCAAGTGTTCTTAAATACTGAACCAACTTTCTTAAAACTATTTGTTTGTTTATTTGTTTGATGTGTGTATGTGTGTCTCTGTGTGTGTGTGTGCTGCTTTGTTGTGTTTTGTTTTGTTTTGTTTTTGTGAAATAAGGTCTCTCTGTAGCCCTGGCTATCCTGGAATTCACTGTGTACCTGGTCTTGAACTCAGAGATCTGCGTACCCCTGCCTCCCAAATGCTGGGATTAAAGGTGTATACCTGTTCTTTTTTAGAATTATTTTATTTCATGTGCCCACATGTTTTCCCGGCTTGTATGTCTATGTATCATGTTCATGCAGTGCCCACAGATCCCCTGGAACTGGAATTACAGATGGTTGTGAGCCATGTGGGTTCTGGAAATCAATCCCTGGTCTGCAAGACTGCTCTGCTTGGGCAGGCAAACTGCTCTGGAGGAGCAACCAGTGCTCTCGACCACTGCGCCACTCTCCAGTCCCTCGGCCCCTAGACCTCTTCATGTTTCTGTCTCAAATATCTGCCAACTTTCAGGTCTTCAGTTATTGTACTCTTTCTTTGATTGTAGAATGTTCTGCAATATCCATTCTTTCATGTAGTTGTCAGTTCTTTTGTCTTCTCTCTATTCTTCTTATAAGTAGGGTGAACTGTAGTGATAACTGGAACACGAGGATGTGATAGGCAGGAGATGCCCTTGAGCTGACCCAGTGACTCTAACTCCTGGCATCTGGAAATCTATAGAGTTGCTTCTTCAGCCCTGCCCCCAAATCTGGACCTCTCCTTTCTAAATTGTATTGCTGTCTCTATATTCTAGTAGTGTGGCCTTTGGAGTCTGATAGCAAGCTCTACTCAGTCCTTTGGCTCTGTGCCATACGAAAGATTTCTTTTTTCTTGTGAGAATTTCCTTAATCTTATAAAATCTCTTACTTATAAATAATATGGAAATAATAAACCTACCTTATTGTTAGAATGAGAACTAAGCACGATGTGGTAGTACACGCCTTTAATTCCAGGACTAGGGAGGCATAGGCAGGTGGATCTATTCCAAGTTCCAGACCTGCCAGGACTACGTCATGAGATCCTGTCTCAGAAAATTAAAGGGGAGGGGCTGGAGAGATGGCTCAGTGGTTAAGAGCATTGCCTGCTCTTCCAAAGGTCCTGAGTTCAATTCCCAGCAACCATATGGTGGCTCACAACCATCTGTAATGAGGTCTGGTACCCTCTTCTGGCCTGCAGACATACATGCATAAAGAATATTGTATTGTATACATAATAAATAAATAAATAAATATTTTTAAAAAATTTAAAAAAAAAGAAAATTAAAGGGGAGGTGGGAGTTGATGCATATCAAATAGTTCATTTAGGACTCTGAATCTTGAAGGGAGACTAACCAGAGGAGAGGAGGAAACTAGAGGATAATGGTGAGGAGAAAGACAGATTGTGTGTCGTCTCGTGCAGAATCTAGACTATACATGAAAGCAGGATGGTACTTGGGAGATGGCTCAGTGAGTAAAGTGTTTGACCCACAAGCCTGAGGGACCGAGTTTGGATCCCCAGAACCTTCATAATTATAATGAAAAAAAAAAAAGCTGGATATGATGTGTCACGTGCCTATAGTCCTAGCCTTCTTGGGAGGTGGAGGCTGGAGCATCCCCAGGGCTCACTGACCAGTCTAGCCAGTTGTGACCTTCAGATTCAGTGACAGATCCTGTCTCAAAACTAAAGTGTTGAGCCATAGAGGAAGACACCAGATTGAGCTCATCTCCACATGTGTACAACACACACAAGACGAATGGGGACAAGAAAGTATAGTGGCGGGGCGTGATATGAACAGTAGGTAATGATGTACAAAAACGGACATGTCATAAATAAAGCCTTCTACTTCGGTCATCCAAAGGCTAAAGGCACTTTTTACCAGTCCTGGCAGCCTGAGTTTAATCCATAGGGTCTTCACGGTAGAAGAAGAAAACTGACTCCTGCAGGTTGTCTTGTGACCTTCACGCGTGTGCCATGGCATGTGTGTCTCCACACACACGAACTCACACATATTAAGTAAATAATTGT